AAAATGTCCCCCTCTCGCTACACAACGAATATTCTTTAATTGTCGTCCTAACTGTTGAAAAAGTACGAGTTTCTAATGTCAAATTGTCTTTGTAGCTGTTTTACAAGTTTTTGGGCGTCAAACTATCCTTAAAGATTTACACTCAAAAAAATAAACCAGGGCAAAAATAATATTAGCCACATTATTTCGAACGAAACGTAAAAACTATAAAACGTTCTACTGATATCTTGGAAATAATAATGATTAAATAATCTATATACTTCACTTTGTAACTGTGTCTTATTTCTGTTTACTTTTATGATACTTATCGTGTTTGGTGTATGATTGTTTGTTTGTTTGTTTTGAATTTCGCGCAAAGCTACACGAGGGCTATCTGCGCTAGTCTTCCGTAATTTAGCAGTGTAAGACTAGAGGGAGGGCAGCTAGTCATCACCACTCACCGCCAACTCTTGGGCTACTCTTACCAACGAATAGTGGGATTGTCCGTCACATTATAACACCTCCACGGCTGAAAGGGCGAGCATGTTTGGTGTGACGGGGATTCGAACCGCGACTTTCAGATTGCGAGTGGAGCGTCCTAACCACCTGGCCATGCCGGGCTTTTGGTGTAGGTATCTTTTCATAATTCACAAAATAAAAATATAAAATGTGGTTACACCCGCAAACGAGAGTAAATAGCCTCGACCGCCAGAATAACAAGAAATTTTTAGGCGTCAGTACTTGCTGTCATTCAATCTCGTAACTTGAAGTTGCACGTGCTAAGGAAATGAAAGTTTTATGATTATTAATTAAATAGATGTTTTAGGTCGTGTTACTTTAAAAAGAAAAATATATTTGAGTAAAAAAAAAAAACTCGGCAGTACCCTGAAATAACACCTAACGTCTATTAAAAGAAACTATTTAAAGAATAAATAAAAGAAGATATGGTGAAAGTTCCGCGTCCGTGAGGGAAGCAACTGCCCTCGAAGTAGGCCACTAGGAAAGCGAATGTTTCGGGGCTGTAGCAACCCTTCCGTAACCACCGCGCTATGCAGCTTACAAGGCCAAAGCTAAGGCCATTTTGAAACAGGAAGATTCAGTCACTTTTCTTGGGCGCTGCCTGTACACTATAGCCTGCCAAACAGGTCCAGCCTTCCATGCGTAGGCATGCAGTCCGACGACGTAAATAACAAGGCGAGGTCACGAGCCCGGAACAGTGTACCACGTGCTCTCATTTCCCATGGGGTGAACGGCTTACTGACCTACTTCATCGAGGCCGGTTCTCCTTCCCTGTTCCATTGTTCGTATTGCTCTCCCTCTCTCTCCTCCCCTGTTCCATTGTTCGTATTTCTCTCTCTCTCTCCTCCCTGTTCCATTGTTCGTATTTTTCTCTCTCTCCTCCTCTGTTCCATTGTTCGTATTTCCCTCTCTCTCCTCCCCTGTTCCATTGTTCGTATTTCTCTCTCTCTCTTTCCCTGTTCCATTGTTCGTATTTCTCTCTCTCTCTTTCCCTGTTCCATTGTTCGTATTTCTCTCTCTCTCTCCTCCCCTGTTCCATTGTTCGTATTTCTCTCTCTCTCTCTCCTTCCCTGTTCCATTGTTCGTATTTCTCTCCCGTCTTCCCTGTTTCATTGTTCGTATTTCTTTCTCTCCTTCCCTCTTCCATTGTTCGTATTTCTCTCTCGTCTTCCCTGTTCATTTGTTCGTATTTCGCTCTCTCTCTCTCTCTCTCCTTCCCTGTTCCATTGTTCGTATTTCGCTCTCTCTCCTTCCCTGTTCCATTGTTCGTATTTCTCTCTCTCTCTCCTCCCCTGTTCCATTGTTCGTATTTCATCTCTCTCTCCTTCCCTGTTCCATTGTTCGTATTTCTTTCTCTCTCTCTCCTTTCCTGGGCTATTGTTCGTATTTCTCTCTTATCTTCCCTGTTCCATTGTTCGTATTTCTCTCTGTCTTTCTCTTTCTCATTTCCTGGGCCATTTAACCACTTATGGCCCTGGCTAGAAGTGGCACGTTTGGCTTTATCGTATATTCTGTTTATCTTGCAGTTTGTTATAGAAAAGCATTAATCTCCGACCAATCTGAACTTACGTAAGAACAGAGTATTCTTCTATAGCCGAAGATGAGAGCACGTGAACGTGCTCATTACAGAACCCACTCTCCTCATACACTCGTTTCCATTTTCCCATGAAATGGACCTTTCACCTTAATCCCTTTCTTTCTGGCTAATGCTGCACACTTTTTCTATTTTATTCCTGGGTAAGTAGTACTTTTCTGAATATTTTGTTCACACACACACTCACACATACACACACGCATATATATATATATATATATAACGCCGGAAAACATCTTTAATTTTTAAATAAAAGGTGTGGACAAGATAAAATTAAGTGATCTAAGAACATATAATTAACCTTAAGCTCGGGAAGAAATCGCCGTTAGCTTTATTAGGCCTAAGAAAACAACAGGTATAGAAGTACCTTGATCGAAATGTGAAAACTGGAACCCAACGCGATTGGAATCCAGCGCCTCCTTTAACCATTTAAGTTACCATGTCTCAAATGCATCCGGTCTTTATGTCTGGCGGTTAGGGCACTCGGCTAGTGATCTGTGTGTTCCAATCCTGTCATCGAACATTCTCGCCCTTATAACCCTGTGAGCGTTTATAACGTGACGGTCATTTCCACCCTTCGTCGGTAAAAGAGTACTCCGAGAGTTGGTGGTATTGATTAGCTGCCTTCCCTCTATCTATCACTTCTAAATTAGGGACGGTTTGCCTAGTTAGCTCTCGAGTAACATTGCGCGAAGTTCGACAAACAAACAAAACACCAATCTCCGGTCTTAGTTTGATTTGTATTGGTAATTTAGGACGGTGTCTGAAAGGAGTGAACCTGCTGTAACTTCATTGTCAAAATTGCCTTCTACGTCAAAATCAAATAATTTTTTCATGTTCATTTTTTTAATTCGTAACTATTAAGCTACCTTTGACTCAGTTGTCAGTAAAGTTTGTTTGTTTGCAATTAAGCACAAAGCTACATAATGGGCTATCTGTGCTCTGCCCACCATGGGTATCGAAACCCAGTTTCTAGCGTTGTAAGTCCACAGACATACCACTGTGCAACTGGGGGGCTTGTCAGTAAATTCAGTTGTTTTATGTCTATTATTCAAAAGGCCTTGCTATATACTCTCAAATGTTTTTGTTTGTATGTCGAAACAAAGTTTGACTTAAAAAAACAAAAACATACGCTATGAAAAGAATCAAAAACGAGATTTGGGGAATGAGATTACTAGCTTCGCCGAATTCCTGGCAGCGAGGATTAGTATAATATATGGCAGTATCCTCCAAAGTGGAAGCCGCGGCCCCCCTGGGGGCCGTGAAACTTTTTCTGGGGGGTCGCCAAAAATGGGCCGAAAAAAAAAGATGCTGAATTAATTTTAATTCTAAATAATTAGCTGATAAAATTATGTTGAATTAATTAAACGATACAGTATGTTGAAAGGAGATGTTACTGTTTTTCAATCACCATGCTAAAGTTATAGTTTGGGAGCCTCCAACTTTTTTATTCATATCAAGTGAGCCTCAGACTAAAAGAGTTTGGAAACCACTGATATATGCGTCCGTGTCAGTCAAGTTTCGTATATCAAGGCTCTTAGAGGCTAAGTGGCCGAGTTGTTTATTCATAAATTCTTGGCCAAGAGGTTTTCAGACACGCTGTATATATAAAAACAACTAAAGTAAGATCAAGCTCATTAGAGAAGTTTCAAGCACAGTCACTACAAAATAGTATTTGTTTGTTGTTTGTTTATTATTATTATGGCAAAACGTCTAATGCTATTTGCCACCGTCCTAAATTTTGAACTACCGACAACAGGGAAGGCAATTAGCAGGCAACATCCACCGTCAACTCTTGGGCTACTCTTTACCAACGAATTGTGAAATTGACCATCACATTATGACGCCCCCGCGACTGAAAAGGCGAGCATGTTGGGCGGTGTAGGGTTTCGATCCCACGACCCGTAAATTGAGAGTCGATCGTCCCAACCACCGGGCCAACCAATAAATTGTGTTCTTTTCGTGTTAGGTATAGAGGTCAAAAAAGATTATTTATGAACTTCAAAACTCTTTAACTACATCTACTTGTAAATGATGTGATCACTACTCAGAACTTAGCAACGACACTTTAACGACAAGTGGATTGCAAGTACGTAATACCAATGAATTCTAAATATGAAACTAGTTAATATTGAAATTAGGTAATGAAACAGATTCTAAGTCCAGTTGATTGTTTAAAACCACATGCTGTATAATAAATTTACAACATAGGCCGGTGAAACCAACTCGCATAACTTGCTGTATAAGTAGCCCAAACCACGTGCTGATGTAACTAGCGTGCTGGTTTAATTACTCTTAACCACGTGTTGTAGCTAGCACTAACCACGTGCTGGTTTAATTACTCTTAACCACGTGTTGTAGCTAGCACTAACCACGTGCTGGCTTAATTACTCTTAACCACGTGTTGTAGCTAGCACTAACCACGTGCTGGCTTAATTACACTTAACCACGTGTTGTAGCTAACACTAACCACGTGCTGGCTTAATTACTCTTAACCACGTGTTGTAGCTAACACTAACCACGTGCTAGTGTAACTAACTCTCAATGTGCTGTTACTTAAACGTGAAGTTTATCTTCAAAACTAGAGGATGATAATTTATGTGAATGTTGATTTAAAGCCATAACTCAGACTGTGAAACGCTTCTTTCCTAATTTCATCATTTTTTTTAATGTTCATATTTCCTCCTCAAATAACCTGCAACAATTATCATCTTTTTACACTTACGAGTTAATAATCACCAGAGCAACAATCTCGCAATATTGAGGAAAGAAAATGTACATTTCAAACATGGGATATTTTTATATATATATATATATATATTTGTTTGTTTCGTAAAGTGAGCCAAGAAACTGGATTTTCTCACATTTCATCCATTATATCTCTGAGCTTCTCTTTTTTTCAGGAACATCACGATTTATTAATCTGCACGACTTATTGCACAGAACCAGATAGAGGCTGACCTCTCCCACGTGGTCAGTGTGACATTCTGTTACCTCCAACCTGGTGTAGGCGACTATCCCAGGAACTGACTAGTCGGGGGGGAATGCGTTTCCACGTCGTCTCTTCTGAACACTCTTGGGGCGCCGACGGTAGTTTTACACCCTCCCGCCTTTTAGTGATTGTCCCCACGTGTATGCAAATTTTAAAGACCACACATAGTTCCAAACCACAGTCGTTATCTGCTGATTCTGGTGTTAAGAATAAACGGAACGTAAAACATCTTGCTTTGCAGCAAGAGTCCCGCAGCTGCATGGACTTCTGGGAGGCGAGCTAGTAGGTCACTAAATCGACTGGGTTGTTGTGGGAAGCGATGCTCAATGAATTCGCGAAGAATTGCTAGGTAACGCTCTTGGATTGCCTCGAGCTCTCGTTGACCTTGGTACTCTTCTGCTGGGAAGAAACAAACACAACTGTCAGTCGTCACTGTTTTTTTGCTCTATGAAACATTAGGAGCATCTCATTCAAGAAGATGTTTCATTTTGGTTATTACAAGGTTTCTGAGGTTGCAATATGAACATTTCCAGTTACACCTAATTAGTGATTTTTGATTATTACAAGCTTCCTGGACCTGTAATATGAACATTTCCAGTTACACCTAATTAGTGATTTTTGATTATTACAAGCTTCCTGGACCTGTAATATGAACATTTCCAGTTACACCTAATTAGTGATTTTTGATTATTACAAGCTTCCTGGACCTGTAATATGAACATTTCAAGATACACCTAATTAGTGATTTTTGATTATTACAACCTTCCTGGACCTGTAATATGAACATTTCAAGATACACCTAATTAGTGATTTTTGATTATTACAACCTTCCTGGACCTGTAATATGAACATTTCAAGTTACACCTAATTAGTGATTTTTTATTATTACAAGCTTCCTGGACCTGTAATATGAACATTTCAAGTTACACCCAATTAGTGATTTTTTATTATTACAAGCTTCCTGGACCTGTAATATGAACATTTCAAGTTACACCCA